AAAAAGTATTAAATATGTATACAGTAACGATGATGACAGTTGGCTTAAGCGATGTTTGATAAATGTTTTATAAATGTTTAATAAATGTTTAACGAAACGTTTGATGTTTTTATTGCTCTGTGTGAGTGGTGTGTTAGTATTAAACGGTTACAAAAAATCAAAATAAAAAAATCACAATGACTTTAACAAATGATATTATCTATGTCGATCGGATGATCTTTAAACGATTTCTTTTTAATCATAAATGTTTTGAAACCCCAGTTTTTTTTTTGAAAGTTGGAAAATAAATTATCTGTTATTGATATGATAAATTTATGATGTTACTGAAAAATACATTTTATATATATATGTATATATTGTATGCTGTACATATAAATTGTAAATGTATATAAATATATAAATTGTATGTTGTATAGAATTTCAGTATATATTAAAAAAAAAAAACATCTATGATCTATCTCATCATCTAATGTAAATAAATATTATAATAATGATCATAAATAAAATATAAATAAAATCGGAAATAATTATCTAGTAATAGTAATAATGGATAAACGTCCTAAGGAACATCATAGACAGTAACACATTTAATGTATATTCGTATTTTGGGATAAATTCCAAAGAAGGAATAAATTAAAAGTTGATAGAAAAGGTGATTTTTTTAGGTTTGATTTAAATTATCTGTTCTGTTAATGTTTAAATTGGTTTAAAATATCAATCATAAACAAATAAATAAATAAATCAAATTTGAATGAATGGAATGAATAAACAATTGTGTATAATTATTATTATTATTACGTATTGTTGTATTATTATTTTGGTATTTGATTATTACAGTATATATAATTAGATAATTATTTCTTTATTAAATCCTTATTTTTTCTTTATTATTTTTTTTTTTTCGTTTACTTTAAAAAAGTTTTTTAATTTTAAACTTTTACTATTAATCTTTAATCTTCATAATAAAAACATATTTCGAAAAAATAACATTTTTTTAATTATTTATAGTAACGTTTATTTATAGTACATACAACATACATTTTTTATTTATAGTAAATATTAAAATAGATTTGAATGAAACTGACACCAATCTTTTTTCAGCAATATATTTTATGTAGGAAGTGATTTTGTCATTTATAAGTGTAAATTTGTTTATTGGAAGTGGATTGGAAGATAATATGTGTTTAGTAGTAAAATTCTTGGCTGGTAAAAGTAAAGTACGTAAATCGATTTCTTTTGGGAAATCTTTTTCGAATTTATCGAATTTCTCGAATTTCTCAAATTTCACTCTAGGATAGAATTCTATTTTCCAAGGATAGAAATTATGAACACTTATCTAAAAGAAAAATTCATGTGATAAATGTTCTACTAAAAGATTCTATATCCAGATAAAACATTAAAACATAGAGAATATAAAAAAAATAAATAAAATAAAAGACAGAGAATATAAAAAAAAATAAAAAATAAAATAAAAATAAAAATAAAAATACTGTAAAACCATTCTTTTTTGTTATAATTGAGTAATATTTTTACTGCAGTGCTGCTGTAATGTTTTGCTGCAGTACCGTCGTTGATAATGCTGTTGATAATTGCTTTTGTAATGGTTATTTGGTAATATAAGTCGTGATCTACTATTAAACGCATGTAATAAAGATGTCACTGAAGATGTCATTATATACAATTATATACAGTTATTACATAAAGAGATATAAAGCATACATATTTCATCATCATTATCAAAAATGGTTAATAATAATACGTAATAATAATGATAATAAATGATGATGATTGATGATAATTTTTGTTTTTAATCTTTAATGAAAACAATTAAATTAGGAATATGCTTTTATGGATATAATGAATGAATTTATCATAATTATAAAGATATTTTTTCATCATAATTTATTACTCATTTATTATCATTATTATTCTATTACTATAATCTTTTCATATTTATTATTATTATCATTATTATTCTATTACTATAATCTTTTCATATTTATTATTATCATCATTAATTTATCGGTCCATTACATTAGACAAGACATTATATATATTTATGGAAATTATGTGTACATATTGCTATATAACCATTATTTGTAAATTAATTTAATTAAATTGAAAGGAAAAGAAAACGTATGGAGTTAGTAGTTGCGATTGTCGACAAAAAAAAAATAATCAATTTATTATTATTATTATTGGAGAAAAAGGTAAATGTATTGGTATGAAAGAAATGAAATAAATGAATGATTGGAGTGAAGTACATAAATGAATGGATGAATGAATGAATGATTGATTGAATGATTGGATGTAAAATTTTTGAATGATTATTTGAATTACTATTCGGGATTATTTGAATTACTATTCGATGACTATACTAATTACTATTCGAAGACCATGTGAATGAACGATTTAAAAAATGAGTGAAGAACGAAAGAAAATAGATAAATTTATATTTAAAGAAAACAAAATAAAATATACCTGTGGTGATATGATAAATTTTGATTATGAAAGAATTTTCGGAAATTAATCAAAGTGGAAAAAAAATAAAATTAATAATGTAAAATAAAATAAATAAAATAAAATAAAGTAAAATAAAGTAACAATAGATAAATAATCATGCAATAGATATGAATAAATCGTGAATACATGAATATACATGAATAATATGGATAAACCATGAAATAATCGTGAATAATCATGAATATAATCACGAAAAGTTATAGAAAATAAAATAAAAAAAAAACCAGATTACTAACGAGTTTAAAATGTGGCAAAGCGACAATAAAATTATAATAACGCAATTTTAGTAATTTTTGTAAATTTTGATATATAGTTTAATTTTTTTTTTTAATTTAAAAATAGAAATTGTTTATATGATAAACCATCGATTATTCCTGATTTATATTTATTGAAATTTTATAGTATTTTCTTTAAAAGAATATATAAATTTGAAAATAATAATAATAATATTTGAATTAATTAAATTGAATTAGTTTGGAAATAATAATTTTTCTCTCCTTCCTAAATATAACAACATAACTTTTATGAATCTATTGTGATTATTGTGATTACGCGTTAAAAATTGATATATCATATTATATCATATTAAATGAATATTTGAATGAATGTTTATCACGACGATATTTTATTAAACAAATAATAATAATAATGATCATATTACAACAATTAATATTATAATAATTAATTAATATTACAATAATTAATATTACAATAATATAAAATAATATAAAATAATATAAGTAAATAAGTAGGTACACCTGATATTTTACAATCTACAATCTAACAACTGCAAGATATTATAAGATATTATTGTTTTTTGTGGATAAGTACATTATCGGTTTCAGGTCAGGTTTTTTTTTAACCATTTTTTTTTTTCAATCATACCAAAAATAAAAATATATTTCCCTTCTTTCCCTTCCCTTTTTTTTTTTCTTGTTAATCATCGTTAATCTTGCTCCTCCTTTCTCGTTAATCTTACTCCTCTTTTTATCATTAACATTTGTAATCAATTTTTCCATTTATTTATTTATTATACTGTACCATCTGATATACGTCCTTATTACCTTTACTTTTATACTTTGTTTTTTTCATCAACCCATCATTCAATCAGCATTCAATGATCATTAGATCAATTAACTTTATTATAATTAAGGTGAAATTCACTCCATAAATAAGTTTTGCATTAAAATTAAATAAAGAAAATTAAAGGAATTGCAGTAGCAATATAAAAATATCTATATGAATGTCTATATAATATCCGTAAAAAATATAAAAAAATATATAAACAGGAATCAAATTATTTAAAACAAACATGTATTTATATTATAATATTTTATTTATATTATTATTTATATTATTTATATTTTAAACTTGTTATTATATTGAAAATTAAATTAAATGAAGTATATATTTAATATATTTTAATATATATATTTGGTTTTCTCCCGATTGGTCCTTTCGTTTTTATCGTAAAAAAACATCATAAAATAATAAAATAAATAAAAAATAAATACTATTTTTTTTTTATAAATATGATGACCACCACCCCCTTCTCCACAAACATAAATAATATGTGAAGGGAAAAAAAAACATTTTCAAATCCAATAATATTTTATAAATAACAACAATAAATAAATAAATTAAGTTTAACAATAAATAAATATTTGATAAATATCTTTATAACTTTATTATAATATCTTTTTTGATAAACATCTTAAAACAAAAAAAAACCCTTAACTCACAACCTTAAACATATACTTGATACGATTTTGGATATTTAATTCCCTTTTTCTTTTTTTTTTATATTTATTCCAAATTCATTTTTCACTTTTTTTCTTTTTTTTTCTTTTTTTTTCCCCTTTACCGTTATTAATTTATTTCACCTTTATTCGCCGAAAGAAGAAAATAAAACTTTTTATCTATAATAATAATTATAATAACAAATCCTCATTTAATCCATTTTGATAATAATAATAATAATTAAAAAAAAACCTTAAAAAAAAAATAAATAACATAATTTGTAATATATTTAGTAATATATTTAGTAGTGAGTGTACAACAACAAAAAAAAAAAAAACTATATTTAATTCATCATATTCGCCATTTTACACTTTTTTTTTATAAATAGCTCGAATTTTTTTTAATCTTTTTTTCGCCACAACAAATTTCACAATACGATATCAAACAATCAATCAAATATTACCTGTTATTTTCTGTTATCTATTATCTTGTTATCTCGCTATCTGTTATTTGTTATATTCACGTAAATATTCATAATACTCAATACAATATACAATATTTACAATATTGATATATATATATATATATAATCTCCACAATATTCAAAATATTCAACAAATATTTTGATATTATATACCTATATATCTTATATATATATCTTCTCAACGAAAATAATCAAAAAAAAAAAAATTTTTTTTTTTTTTAAATAAAATAAAAAATAAATCATAATAAAAAAAATGAATAATAATTATGAATATCATCGAATTCCATCAGTAGAAATGGAGGAACAAATCAATAATTATGATAATAATAATAATAATACAGATGAACATTTATTATTATCAAGTTCTACACTTAAAGAAAATGATGATCTATTGTAAGTTAATATTTTTTTGAATATATCTAATATAATAATATCTAATTTCTAATTTCCAATTTTCAATATCTAATAATATAATAATAATGTCCAATATCTTTATCTATTTAACATTATAATAGCCCAATTCCATTAGATGCAATTGATACTATTCAACAATCAAAAAATTCGGTATCATTTGATCTAACATTTTGTAATCGATTCCTTCACATTTGTCGTATACTATTTTCACCTTTAAATCCTTACGGAAATCTGATTTCGATATTGTTCAGTTTCTTCATTATAAGTTTAGCATTTGAAGTGGTGGTTTATTTCGTGGGTACTATCCCAAGTAGATTTTATACAGTATTAATTGGTCAAGATTTTGAAGGATTTAAATATGAATTAATTTGGGGAATGGGATTCGTGTTAAGTGCGGGATTGGTGAGTTATCATTTTGTTTATTTATGATTTACTTTATAATTACTATATTTATATATATAATTATAATTACTATATTTGACAATTATAATTATTTATAATTATAATTAATTACTATTTTTGATTTATTAACATTTATATTATATTATAATTTATCAAATATTTTTAATTAATAGGGAAAAAGCTTGGTAAAATTTGTAGGTGGAATATTTTATTTGTTAACCAGAAAGATTTTAACAAAATATATACAAAATCAATATGTCGATCAAAATACTTTTTATCGTTTCTTATCTACACGTATGGATATTGATAATCCGTAAGTTATTAATTAATTAATTATAATAACAAATTTAATAATAATAATAATAATAATAACAATAATAATAAATAATAATTAATAATAATAATAATTGTTATCATTCTTTTTACGCAATTGTAGAGATCAACGTATTGCTCAAGATATTGATAAATTCGCTACCAAATTAAGAGAGATCGCCGAAGAAGTTTTAGTTTCACCAATAATTATAGCTTATTATACTTATCAAACTTGGAAATTATGTGGATATTTAGGACCCTTGATGATTTACTCATATTTCTTCATTAGTTTCATATCAAGTCGATTCTTAATTTCACCCATAGTGAATTTGGTTTTTATGAAAGAATTTTATGAAGGAAATTATAGATTCCTTCATATCCGAATTCGACAATTTTCTGAATCGATTGCTTTCGGTTTGGGTGAAAGAGGGGAAAAAATTCGATTAGATAAATATTTTAATAAGATTTTGAATTACACGAAACAAATTATTGAAAAAGAATTAATATTAGAAAGTAATTATTATTATTACTATTATTATTATTATTATTAATTAATTAATAATTATTAATTTTTTCATTACTTATTTTTTCTTTCATCTCCTCAAAATAAAAAATATTAACATTATTAACTTTATTATTATTATTATTATCATTTCTTTTTAGCTTTCACTGATACAATCGGCTATCTGGGAGCAATATTAAGTTATATTATGATCGCTATACCAATATTTACGGGGGTATACGATAATATTGAAAAGGAAAAATTAGGTGGAATTATTAGTTTGGTAAATATTATTAATAATTTTAATATTATTATATCATTCTTTAATATTTAATATTAATCTAATTATTATTTTTATTATTATATATAGAATGCATTTCTATCGATCTATCTTATTCATCGATTCAGTAAAATAATTGAACAATCAACCAATTTATCAGATTTAGCTGGATACACATCACGTATAGGACAATTATTGGAAGCATTAGAAGAAATAAATATGGAACTTGAAAATGTTGATATTGATAATCCATTTAATGATCCACCGAGACCACCAAGGTTAGTATTATTATTATTATTATTATATTATATTATTAATATTTTATTTAATAATATTTTTTTTTTAACATTTATTATTTATTATTTTCAAATATTATTTTTTTAACATTATAGTTCCGAATTATCAATAATTTTTGATCAAGTAACCATCATGACACCATCCGGAAACAAATTATTATCAGAATTCAAATTTATGATTGAACAAGAAAATAATGTAATGATAATAGGTCCTAATGGTAGTGGAAAATCTTCAATATTAAGAGTGATGTGTGGATTATGGTCTACACCCAAAGGACATGTTATAAAACCATATTCATTATCCAATCAACAACGAATTTTAATATATTTACCTCAAACTCCTTATTTGGTATTTGGTTCTTTAAGAGATCAATTATCTTATCCTATGATAAATGATGAAAAAAATCAATATGGTAAATTTCTTGTTTTATTTATTTATTTTATCTATTTGTCTATCTGTTACGTATGACGAAACGTAAATTAATTATTTATATATATTTTTGTTTTATGATTAACTAGTTACCGATGAAGAAGTTGATAATTTATTATCTTTAGTAAATTTGTCTCATGTGAAATCTTTAGTAAGAAATTATGATGAACAATATGGTTCGGATTGGGATAAAATGTTAAGTCCTGGTGAAATACAGAGATTATCATTCGCTAGATTATTTTATTGGAAACCCACATTTGCTGGTAAATATAAATTTATATGACATCATTATCAAATACGTTACATCATTACATCATTAACATCAACATCAAACATCGTTAACACGTGATCATTATACATTTTTTAGCACTAGATGAATCCACCAGTTCACTAGACGCAGCCACCGAATCAAATTTCTTTGAGAAATGTAAAAAATTCAATATAACCTGTATCACGATATCTCACAATATGAATTTATTAAAATATCATGATAAGGTATTACTATTAGATGGGAAAGGACATTATGCCACAAGTGATATTGATATCAATGGTACCGAAAATATTGAACGTTGGATTGATGGAATATTGGTTAGGAATAGTGGAATAATAGTTGACGAATGAATTTGATTTCTTTTTCTTTATTTTATTTTATCTTATCTTTCTAGTTCTAGTAGGAATTATTATTATTATTATTTTTTTTTTTTTAAAAAAAAAAAAAAAAACAAATGAATGAATGAATCTCTCATACACAGATCTATTTATCATTATACAAACATTATATGTATGAGATGAGAGAATTACTATTAGAATTATTATTGTATATATGAGCATGACAATGTCCACATTTTCCATATGTATCTATCTATATATATACACCTATTTCCTATTTTCCATATTTTCCATTAAAACCAACCATTTGTCACACATCAAACAATTATCAACAACAAAAAAACATTTTTTTCTTTTCTTTGTAAAAATTTCTTTTTTAGCATTCTATTCAAAAACAAATAAATAGCAATAATCAACAACCACAAAACAACAATTGTTAACAAATAATAGTCAACAAAACAATCAATCAACAAACAATACAATATAATAATAATCATAACTTTTTGAAAGAATTTTATTTTTGGTTTTTTTTTTTTTTTTTTTTTTTTTTTTTTTTTTTTTTTTTTTTTTTTTTTTTTTTTTTTTTTTTTTTTTTTTTTT